GGTAGGTGAACACAACACAAAGAACAATTATCGGGCCTGGAAACAGTTCCTTTTTTTGGTCGTATTTCTATGCCTGTGTATGTGTATGTGAGTGCTGTGGTGATATATTGTTTGTAAGCTAGGAAATAAAATTTGCCTGAAGATCAGAGAAACAGAGCAAGCCACAGCCACCAACTCCTCAGCCTGAAAGAGACCGAGTTCCTGTCTCCTCCTGCCTTATATTCCTTTCTCTGCCCAGCATTATCACTTTCTGTCTCAACCTTCCTAGTGCTGGGATTAAAGGTGTGTGATCTCAAGTGCTGGAATTAAAGGTGTGTGATGTGCCATCATTGCCTGGCTTTGTTTGTCTTTTAGATTGGATTTATCTCATGTAGTTCAGTGTGGTCTCAGCCTCTGCCTCTCAAGTGCTAGGATCAAAGGTGTGTGCCACCACTGCTTGACGTCTATGGCTAACTCTGTGGCTAGCTCTGTCCTCTGATCTTTCAGCAAATTTTATTTGTTCAAAATATCACCACAGAGTACAAGTGCTCTCAGAAGCCAGTAGATCCCCTGGAGTAGTTACAGGCAGTAACTGTGCGAGCTACACAGTGTAGGTGTTAGGAACTGAACTCAGGACCTCATTCTTAACTACTGAGCCATCTCTCCAGCCCTAGGAAAGAGAATTTTATTGTGAATGAGTTTTGAGAGTCTGTCAGTAGAGCTCTATTAGTTAAGACTTTGCTCCCTTATGTTCCCTAAAAGGGTGTTTCTTTAAATATTTTACTTCTGAAAAGTGAATCTGGTCATGTGTTCTGAAGTCTCTCCAGTTCCTCCACTCCTCCACAGAGTTTATAGTCTCATACAAGGTGGGTGAGGCTCTTTTAACTCTGGGTTTTAACCAGGCTTGAGGCTTCATGGTACTCAAGAGACCCTCCCATCTGTCTTAGTCACTTTTTAAATTGCTGTCATAAAACACCATGACTAGGGCAGCATATAAAAGAAAGCATTTAACTTGGGACTCACAGTTGTTGAGAGAGAGAGAGAGTCTATAATCATCATGGCAGGGAGCATGACAGGAAGCAGGCAAGTATGGTGCTGGAGCAGTAGCTGAGAGCTCACATCTGGATTCACAAGCACCATGCAGAGAGAGCTAACTGGGAAAGGTATGGGCTTTGGAAATCTCAAAGCCCACCTCCAGTAACACACCTCCTCCAACAAAGTCACACCTCCTAATCCTTCCCAAACACTTCCACCAACTGGAGAGCACATTTTCAAATCTGTGAGCTTTGGGGGGTTATTCTCATTCAAACCACACAATCTCTTTCTTGAATCTCATCATCTGGCAATTTTGTATATTAGGAATTTTTCTGAGTGCATGTTATTTCTTGATTCCTAGGTATTCTGCCCAGAGTCCCACAGCATCCAAACCCTGCCCTTGTGTGAGTGATGACTCATGAAAACCACTCACTTTGCAGGTGGCTCCACCAGGGAGTCTCCTCTGCCCCAGCAATTGTTCACTGCTTAAAGAGCCTTAGGGAAAGGCCTGGGACTGTAGCTTTGTATGCTTCCTGAGCCTCCCAGTCTCCTTTCTCTTTCTTCCTTCCTTCCTTCCTTCCTTCCTTCCTTCCTTCCTTCCTTCCTTCCTTCCTTCCTTCCTTCCTTCCTTCCTT